AAGTTGAAATATCCATGGGCAATCAAATGAACAACGTTGTTTTGTAGGTTAAGTTCATTTTTGTGGTGAATTTCAGTTATTTGTGTTTTTCTATTATAGTTTGTTTTAAAAGTTTTATTTGAGCTTTTTTTCTATGATACTCTTGATTTTGATTTTTAGGTTGTGGGACTGAGGGATCAGTTTTATTTTTAGGAAGGTTGGTGTCATCTGCAAATTAGGAAATTTTATTTTTTGAAAATGGTGATCAGCTTTTGAAATAGATTGCCTTCAGATGCAACATAGTTGACAGAGAAGGAATGATGAATACTTAAACAATCAGGGCTATATATGCGAATGAGTGTCTAATGAAATCAACGGGATAGCCATAATGGCCCCCAGGAATTCCTTGTTGTCCCATAAATGTTGTGTTATAAATGGATGCCCACATGTTATACGGTACAGTGACAGTTTTCATGACATCATCATCTATCATAAAGTAGAAACAAATTTAAAACACAAAAAACCTTTAACTCCAATAACCTTAGATTCTACATTTTCATTCATGCCATAATGGGATATGTTGAGATACCTTAATTTCTGGCAAATAAGTCTTTTGTTGTAAGTAAACATTCAATTGTAAGCTTACCGTAAGATGCTCAAACGCATTCATACTGAAATCCAGTTCTATTATTTCCGTACAGTTAGGTTTTTTGTTCTTTTCCTTCATTGACATTTCTTTCATGCAGTCATTAACACTGAAAACAATAAGTAACAAACAATTTACAAGATAAGAAAATAATAGAACTGTAAACGGCAAGATAAAAAAAAAAAATACGCCAAAATACATCAGACATTCAAGTATTTACATATACTTAAACTATCCAGGACTTATAAATACACAGCACAAGTAGTACTCCAAATCCTGTTAAGTATTCCCTATAACTTCAGAGCCTGCTAAGGATTAAGATCAGCAATAGTATACACTACAAGTAGTAATTCAAACCCTGTTAAATATTTTCTATAACCTCAGAACAAGCCTAGGATTAAGGTTACCAATGGTATACACTACAAGTAGTAATTCAAACCTGTTAAATATTTTCTATAGCCTCAGAACAAGCCCAGAATTAAGGTTACCAATGGTATACACTACAAGTAGTAATTCAAACCTGTTAAATATTTTCTATAGCCTCAGAACAAGCCCAGAATTAAGGTAAGTAATGGTATACATACAAGCAGTAATTCAAACCTTGTTAAATATTTTTATCTATTATCTAAGAGCCAGTCATCTGCTAGAATGATTTTTTTCTTTTATTCTGGTTTAAAAGTACTTATTATCTGCACCTTTCCGTACCAACTGTATTAATAAAGATTACAATTATGCTATATAACAGGAAAAACATAAGAAACCACACATAACATGCCTGAGATCTTTAGAGTCAAACAATATAACAGTGCTAAAATAAAGGTCAAATTCTGTCAACGGCTTTCCTGCAATTATACAGTCTACATCCGTTGAATAGATTTTATCTTCAAGGTTTGTTTCTTTGTCTTCTCGGAGATCAATGTCTTCTTTCTGAGCCATAAGCTGTTGTTTTAGATCTTCAACAAGCACGGCTCTTTGCTCTTGTTGCATTAGAGCCATTAAATCATAAGGTCTTTTCAATGAAAAGACAGAATCCATCTACAGTTTGAAAAATAAATTAATTTATTAGTTTTGTATGCTTTTACACTCATGTTATAAAACTACAAATTAGAGAATGTCGGGCTCTTTTATTTATACGTTCAAATATATATATTTTTTGGTTGAATTTTTCTACACTTTTTGCAGGAACCTTCACTGAGGTGTTATACTCCACAACAATGGAATGATTTAAAAACACTAACTTAGCAGCAAAACAACCTCCCCTACCTGATGGTAGAGAAGATAACAAAACTTTATTTCTTGAATAAAAAATGCACGTAAATTAATAATAAGTTTACATGTATTAGTAATATATATCAATATAAAATTGCATACATTAGTTCAGAAGTATCTTATATTGACCCTGCTAACAAAAGAGGAGAGATAGTGTTGTTTTTAAGGAGAGGCCCGATAGCATATGTGACATGATTTTGGTGAGGATGGCTAAATTTTAGAGGGTATTAGAGTTGAGGATCCTGAAAGAATAAAAAAAAATGGTTATTGACAGAAGAATGTATAAGTAGGCTAGATGCTGCCAACAGAAGTATGTATAAGTAGGCTAGATGCTGCCAACAGAAGTATGTATAAGTACGTTAGATTCTGCCAACAGAAGTATGTATAAGTAGGTTAGATGCTGCCAACAGAAGTATGTATAAGTAGGTTAGATGCTACCAACAGAAGTATGTATATGTAGGCTAAATGCTGCCAACAGAAGTATGTATAAGTAGGCTAGATGCTGCCAACAGAAGTATGTATAAGTAGGTTAGATGATACCAACAGAAGTATGTATATGTAGGCTAAATGCTGCCAACAGAAGTATGTATATGTAGGCTAAATGCTGCCAACAGAAGTATGTATAAGTAGGCTAGATGCTGCCAACAGAAGTATGTATAAGTAGGTTAGATGCTGCCAACAGAAGTATGCTTATTATACCCGTATGTATTGTGGGAGACATGAATTTTAGGGAAATTGACTAATTATTCACATGATGTCACAGATGTTCTTGAGGTTGTAAGGTATTTTTTCTCACCCTGAATGTTAAAATCTTATTTCAAATGTTGTTTTACTTCTGAGAAAGATAACAGGAATTCAATTGTGCAAGAACACAGTCATAACATTACTACCCTGAATGCTTTTATTGAAACCAGTTGTAGAGTTAACAAGAATTATGTCCAATTTTCAGAAATCTCCACTTCCAAACTCTGCAAGAGATCTTGAGAAATTGATCTAAACAGCAAGATATTAATGAAACTTGATATTGTTGGGTTTTTTTCACTTTGATCAAGCTAAATGAAAAGAAATCTATTTCTTCCAAATTTTACATTTTAATATGAACTTTTTCTACATGGGTGAAAACAGAATTAACATTATAAACATACGAAAAATGTCTAATTCACAAGAATATGAAATTTACAAATAGAATGGAGGTTCATGTTTTTCTTGAATGAGATGAGACTATCTCTGTTCATACTGTTTATCTTGATTTTAATTGTAGAAAAAAAGGAAAGCCTTCAAATAAATGTGCTTAGCTGAAGTACCAAAAACAAATTATGAGTTACTGGTTTCTATTTTGAATTTTAATTAAAGCAAGCAAAGAAGGGTATTTTGGAACAGCTCTTACAGTTTCGGTCCTTTTACAAAATGAATGGTATCAACATTATATTCAGAGTCACACATTCCTGTAGAGGGGAGCTGTTTGGATAAAGTTTAATGGAGCAGACTCTGGTTTTACTTTTCTCATCATGACATTCACTTACCTGAATTAACAACAATAATAAGAAAGAGAAGCATAACAAATGATATAAAAAAAAAGCATAATTACAATTTCTATAACATGGGTGGATGAATTACAAAAATTAAAATATTTATAATATAAATGCATCTTTGTTTTATAGTATAAAGAAGTAGCAATAAACTCAATGTTGGAATAAATCATTCATAGTTAGGCACCATAACCAATGTAAACCAGGAGAGGGCAAATCATTCCAAATTTAATAAGCACTAGAAAAGGAGGTTAGATAATGAAAATAAAGTAATTATACTCTGAGGTAGACAACTACCCCAGTGAATAAAATAAAATGAAAAGGTTAGAAATAAAAATATCAGTATTGGGGTAACAGGCTTAAGCTTTGTCATCCAAACGTTCAATGAAATGATGTTTCAAGTAGAACTATATACTCATACAAAGACAGTTTTGGTGCATGATTTGATTAATTATGTCTAGTTCTTTTCACTCTTTCATTTTCATGTTTACAGATAACTAATTCTACCAGTGTCAGGTTTATTTTCATATACAAAATGAACGGGACACATTTTAATATTTTATTATTTATCTGAAACTTGCAAACCCTGGGAGATTAGGAAGAAAATACCCTTTTCTCTTGTTGATACAAAATTCAAAGCTTACATGTAGTTAACATCACACTTTTCAAGAATAAAAAAGAAAAGTTATATGGTGTGTCTTACATGTATGTTTATGGCAGTGCAAGAGTTAAACTTTGTTAGATACAAGAAAAGTATAGGATTATGAATGACTAGACATAACTTAAATTTAATGCTTTAGTTGGTTGACGTGGATAGGCAGAATGACCTTCTGACACTTTTCTTTTTAAGTTTTATAATCCTACTTGGACTTTTTTTTTTGTTTTATAGTTTTATTTAGATATTTTAAAATCAGTGATTTTCAGATTTTTTTGCATTTAGTGCCATGATTAGTATATTAATACACCTTATATTCTTAACACAATAATCTTTCTTACAGGACTGTAGTAATAACAGGTACAAAACAGTTCTATTTAAGTTAGAACTTTAAAAGAGCAGCTGATACTTCATATGAAATTATAACAACAAACTTATCCCCAACAGTAACAGACAAAATGTGTTCTTTTCCTTCAGAGTAATATTCCAAAGCAATATAGTTATAATCACACTTCAAAACAGAAACATAGTTTACTGTTTGCTGTTAATGTAAGACAATACACTGTTAATCTTTCTCATACCTCCCTCTTCTAAACCTTGTAAATGATTGTGTAATTTCCTAACTTTCAGTTTCAGTACTTAAATTATGTAAGATAAAATTAACATGGCAGCTCCAGTATTACCGAAAATTAAAGACTGAGAAAGTTCATCCAGACTTTACTACTAAGTAAAATCTATCCCACACATATTCTGACAGTGATATTGACAAATATATTAGTTTACCTTACAAGTTATATTAACATTTTATGAAAATACGTCTATATACTTAGCGAAGTATTGTTTTGTCTTTTTTAATAAAAAAATAATTATTTATAGACTTTCATTCTTTACATTACAATACTTCAATTGACTTTTTATAGTATACAAAATAGGCTTCGAGTTCAAAGTTCAGACGTGTTACGTTAATTTTTCGACGCGGCTATTTTCCGTGTAAAATTTGGTCTCCTTACAGCCATTCCTCGCGCAATAAAAAACTTGTCTTGTAAATTGTATGTCTGATTCAGTGATGCTGACAATGATAGTATCGTGAATGTGATGGTGTTGATACTAATAAACAAAATTAACATAGGCCAATTTACAAGTTACATACTAACCTGTGACTGTATCTTTCCATCTTCAGTTACAACCCAATGAGTTGAAGCTTCCCCATAACCTAATAGAAACAGAAGTACATCAAACCATATATTCAGAACAACGATACGAAATCCCATTTTAATGTTATATTACAGCATTTTAAAATTCTTCTCAATCTATTAAATGACCACTATCATGGAACTCCCTAAGTAAACATAACGCCCTCTACTACCTATTAAAAATCAAAGGGAAAATATGAAAGAGAAGGAAAGAAAATATAAAAAGCATAAAACTTAAGGTGGATAAATTGAAAACATTAGCTTTCCCATATTATTTTGCTTGATTTATGTAAACTTCTTTGAGTACATTTTAGGTAAAAAAGGTAAATTCAAATACTTATCACGTATTTCAGTATTTAACTTAGAATCCACATTGAGTTCATGTCCTAGACATGTATTGAGAAACAAGAGATGCAAGTTTTAAATGCTCACACAAACTAGTAGAAAGTTGTCTGTTTGTCTCACCAATATATCAGCTTTTGTAATTCATACATTCAATTACATACATATTTCTTGAAGTATCATTATACATATACTAGCTTTATTGCCAAAATATCATTTCTGATCAGTTTTTCGTTTGTGACCCTCAAAGACGATAAAAAAGGCGTTTGCTGAAGCGCCAGGTAAAACAAGAAAAAACATTTATCTGAAGTTGTTTGTTGTCTTTCTTGAATCTTAAATATGGTTTGGCCTTTAATAGTTTAATCAACAGTGAAGGTTTTAAAAACTAACAAAAACTTTTATTTTCTTATAATTGATAGGTGGCACTAGTATTATTGCCATTCACAAAAGATAACTTCAACTGCAGTGAAAGATGTCAACTACGAGCTCTGAATAAGGGTTAGCTTGAAGTTGAAACTCTACAGTACAATATTTATAGCTTGATGTTTTTAATGGTAGCCTGAATCAAAAAGGTCTGTATTTTTATTGTTTTCGTCAAATGTAGATGAAGAATATATTCGTGAGAGTATATTTTTATTAATTTAGTGGCTTCCTAATATCAGTGATACTGGTACTGGTTGATTTAAGACCGTAACTAAGTTACACAGTGATCTCAACCGCAGGAGTCTGATTATAATATCACTTAGTGATACTGATAGATTCCACTAGGCACGACTGAGTTATTACTATTACTAGTAGTACTAGAGTACTACAAAAGTAAAGAGTGATAAGTTATGCAGGTACCTACTAGTGTACTACCCTTATTCGTAGCGTTCAATAGCAATTAGCACTAGTACTCAAATTCACAGTAGTACTAATAGTAGTAGTTTACAAATTACATTATTCATCATTGATGCTGAACTGTGAACACTAAAAAGTAAAACGGAAGCACTGAAAGTATAAAGGGGACTTGTGTACTTAAAATAAAAGTGATAAATATGGACTTTTTGGCCAGAGTTACAAATATTGAAATCATTTCCACTTCACTGTTTTTAGTGTTATTTTTTTATTGGTTCTCTAGATATTCTGTAAGTAACTTACAGTACCGGTATATACCACCATATTAAAAATAAACCCATGTATATTCTGATACATATAATGTTTTATCTTTTTACTCATTCATGTTTTTGTAATAAAAAGTATGTTATATAATTTTATTTTTAAAATAAAAATTACATTTATGATTGTTAACAGTAGGGTGGAGACATGAATCTGTGTGTTACTAGTAAGTGTAACATTTGGATCTTCTGCTCCAATGCTCTTACCATTTATTTTTCATGAAATTATCAATTCCTTCTCATCAAATCTTGTAGTTCTAAGATGCTGGCCTCTTTTGTAGTGTTTTAATTAGAATGTAGCCTATTTTATAGAAATCTTAAGCTTGTATCATTGTCTTTACTATGTACAGTACAAAGATATCAGAATCTTCTATCCCAGGAGCTTAACTAAGAAAGCATAATGTTTGTTATGTTCATAAAATGGATCCAAAATGTTTATAGAAATGTTTTCAAAGATACAGAACTGTTTACAAGTCAATACATCTTACAGAGAAATCTTGACTGTAAATTCTCATGCCAGTCTGTTTTCTTCATGGTACTGAAGTGGTTTTAGTAAGTTGTATACCACTATATCAAGATCCATAATATTACTGCATTATTGAGTGTATTTCCACTTCCATTGTTTCCAAATTATAACAACCCAAGTACATAACATTGCACTTACTGTAATTAAAAGGTCATTTACCAACCATTTGTCCAACACACCAATTGATCAAAGTAATTCTTTAATATTTTATTATCCTCAATACAGTTAAAACATTCAAAAGCTTCATTTCATCAGCAGACTTTGCTAATTTTCTAATTATGCCTCTATCACTGGTATTAAATAAGAAAAATAAAAGCAAGGTCCCAAGCACCAACCTCTGAATCACACCACTAATAGTAAAAGTCCAGTATGACTGGATGCCATTAATAATTTTTTTTTCACTCTTCCACTCCTCAATTCATTTATTTAGTCTTTCCTCAACCCTTACCAGATGTAGTATTTTATCAAAAGCTGTTTGAGAAATCAAAATACACAAATTCCATACCCTCTCTCTCATGACAAGATGCTATGTAGTATCCTCAAAAAAAGAAAAAAGTTCAACAGATTACTAACGAAAGATTTCCCTTTTGTGATTTTTTGTTTCTGTCCAGCATACTGTGTCTTTCAAAGCCTCTGTAAAATCATGATCAAGCCCACAGTTTTCAAACATAATGTCCATACAACTTATTTCTGAACTACCCCTAATCATATTGAAGTTATGCTAACATTAATCTTGCTTTTAATTAGGTGGAATGGTTTGATGAATGAAAATAAGTGTTTTAACCATGAACTTAATCTCTAACTCTGTTTTTATTTTTATTCAAACTATTTCTTACATCACGCTTAGGTCATATTTATAATGGAGTGACATATCCTATATTGTGATAACTCGTATAATTGTAGCTAATTTAATATTCTCACATTCTTAAGTGATGGTATTATGGTTGAAGTGAAAACATGAAATCACATAATTTCTGGTCATTTACACCATTTTTTTTAGCAATTCATACCGTTTACAGAAAATGTTCCCTAAATCATTTCTCCAGTTGTAAAAAAAGATACGTGTATATACTCCACTAATATTAGAGAAATTGAAGAGAAAATTTCATGCTATTCAGAAATTATCTAGTACTTATACTTAAACATAGCAATTGATAATCAGAAGAAAATTAATTTCAGTTATACTTTGTGTGTGTATCAAATTTAAACATAAGATAAATAGATGTTTAGATCTTATAAACATGGTGTTAATAGCAGGGATTGTATAAAAGTTTTGCATTTACTGATGTCCTGTTCTGTAAGGAGAATTCAGTAAGAAGAATATATCTCCACGCTATATCTGCCGTCACCGAGATGTTTCACCCATCAGGATGGCTGGGGTTTATAGTTAATGATAATGTAATTCAGTAATGAATGAGACAAGTAAATTGAATAAACATAAGTGTGTATAGACAGTTCACGTTAAGATGTAGAAATCATTTTCTTGTTAGTGTCTATATCCTATAAACTTGTGAATGTTGTGGAAAGTAACTAACCTAACTTTTAGTTCATTAAATTTATCCTGAAATATTTAGATCCACAATGTTCAGAACTTAACCAATTTTTATTTATTTTAACCTGAAATTATGTAATATATTTAATGTAAGTCCTAAGGAAACACAGTAAAATGGCTGAATTACATAAATTAAAGTTTTTAATGCCCAAGATGTATCCTAAAATATTTATTAATTCTGGATTTGAATTTTGTAACTTGTGTCAAAACTTGAACAAACAGGTAACCATATATATACGTGTTGTTTTCAATGGCTCTGCTTGATAAGCAGAATTTTCAAGAATTCATCCAAATTTCAGTGAAAATTGTTAAATATAACATGGATTGTTTCTATTATGTAATTTTCGTATGTATCACTTATTAGCATAGGGTAACTGTAGGTTATTAGTTGAAATTAAGCCACTTTAATAATTTGAATATAAATATGTGTAATATCTCTTTGATAGTCAAGAGGACAAAATCTTCAAACAACCAAAGAAGACATTAAAACTTATGGTACATCCTAGATTTTATAACAGGATTCATTGTATCTGGTAATTTTGTCTTCAGTCATTTCAAAAATGGATGATGAGTTATTGAACACAGTACAAAATGGATCTCAAGAGGATATTGTGAAAGTGTTAACTGAGTTTAACAGAAAAGTAAGTAGAATTGATGTATGTGTGTTTTTGTTATTTTGTGTAAGCAAACATTAGTTATCCATCACTTCCAGACACTCGGATAACAACCTGATAAGTGCAAACATGCAAAACCTGCTTAAAAATATTGTTACGCCTGCCAACCACTTCTAGTTGAAATACCTTTACTTACCAGACATTGGACACATTTTCACCATCAACCAACACTTACCAACTATGTATATTAACAAGTCCCCGATGAACACAATTATTAGACAAATATAAATAATTAACTATGACCAGATACTTCTCATGTTCCATCATTAATCACTTACAAACTACCTTTTTACATATCCACACCAATAATTACCAGGCACCACACAGATTTTTAAGAATTTAAAATTTATGTACCTACTTGTGTCAATAATCAAACAATTCACACACTGTATCACTCGTGTAATGATACAGTGTAACAGACAAATTGCAACTACTACTAGTTAATAAACAACAATTGCCAGTCAGGAATGAATATTATGGATATTTTGTAACTAATCAGTAATCAGACATAAAGTACAATCCTGATTCTGTCTAATAAACGTTTACTAGATGGAAAGAAAACTAAGACAAGAGGTCATTTAGTCATCAATGATCCTTAAACCACGAAAACTGTTGTATTCATTTGTGCATATCTAAATATTACAGTAAATATGGTCAATATATATCACATCATTAAGAACACTGTTGAGGAATTGTTTTTTCACTCAGCATGTAAAATATTATTAGGAAGGGTGTTATTTTAGGCTTTGTTCTTAGTGCTTAGAAAAATATGGTTAGACATGTAGGGCACATGAGTTCTAGCCATCTGTTATAATAATACTCAGTTTGTCTGTCCTGAAAATGTCTGTGCACCTTACTATCTAAGTGCAAATACTCACACACTTCCTTCCAACAGATGTAAACAAAAAGTGAATGTAAATATACTTTAGTAGACATTTTGTACAACATATTAAAAGCTTATCAAAGTTCTTAAAAAGGTCTAACGTTAGGTCTTAGAATAACAATATAAGTTTATTTATTGATGGTATTAAGTATGGTAAAGTTTAGCCCTAACTAAAGCAAGAAATGTACACAAGTTAAAGTGTTAATTTATCTCTTTATTAAATATAGGCTTAACTAATGTTAGGCCTAAGACAAGTGGACTTCTAGATTTCAGTGTCTGCTATTAGAATATTTTTGTATTTTTCTAGAAATCTTGTCTTTACAGAAACACTTTTGCAATAAACATACTAATTTGACTGCAAATGTTTTGTAGGTCTCTGTTAGTTATTAAATATTACATTTGATGTTTATATTACATTATGTGGACAAGTAGTAAAAAGTTCCTGAATGTTTATGAATTATCTGATACTTAACTTACCATTTCTAGCTCTACCAAAAACTCTTCAAAACCATGACAGTTTTTAATATCTTATTCAGATTATCTCATCTTTCCTCAAAGTACACTTTGGACTATTTAAGAAGTATTTTCTTGTATATGGTCACTGTCAGTATACAGTATATTCTGAAATATTGGTCTCAACGACTCTCAAGTTTCAAAGTTAATTTATGAAAAACTGGAAATAGTGAATTTTTTTCCAGTTTGTCTTACTTCGTTGGTCACACACTATTAGTGCTTGCATGCACCAAAACAAAGCAGATTTGACCTCTGACTTGAGAACCCCTCCTTTCATGTAATCCTAGGTGTGCCAATGTTTCTTCTATTGGAGTACTCTAGGAACTTAAAAAAACTTGCTTTGGAGTAATTTGTCAAATGACAGCTTTTAACACAAATGTATTGCATGAAGAGATCTTAATTATTTTCTAAGAATCAAATCAAGGATACAAGATCTAAAAGGAATTTTTTTCTTTGGTTCAATCTGTAGAATGCCAAGACATTTTGTTTCCCAGAATTGAATCTGAATAAGAAGAAGGTAAGTCATATTTAGTAAGATATTTATTGTTTTCAATTTCTAACAGGAACAAAGAAGTATCTTACTTATCTGTCGCAGGCAGACTTTAGTCGCAGTTAGAGATGAAAGTTATTTTATGTAGTTTTATTATTGTCACAAATAACTTGTCAGAGACATACAGTTGTTTTGTCTAGAAGGATTGTCATTAATGTGATCTTTCAAAAGAGTTAATTATCATATAAAGAACAAACAGGTGAAACTGGTAAAATTGAAAAGTCTTGTTAAAAGGGTTTGTAAATGTAAACACTGCAAAAAAAAATGGGGAAAAAAAAGGTGTCATTAAGTAAGTACACAAATATGTAAGGAATAGCAAGGTGACAGTAGGCAACTTGACCCATAGAGGTCATCATATGCTAAATTGCGAAAACCAAGGACTATCTTATTTAAATGTGTTTCCTTGTTAACATATCTGTTGAATAAAAACGTAAATTAATTTAAACTATTGGCTCGCACAGCTGTATCAGACTCTTTATAATTTGTCACTATAGGGATTAAAAACTGTATAATAATTTATCTGGATCTCAGTTTCAAAGCTTATTGTTATTACTTTTATATCATACAGATCTTTATCATGCACGTATGCAGGGGAGTTTGAGGAGGTTCAGCTGAACCCCCTTATTTTTGTGATGTAAAAAATTATGTTTATATAGTTATAGCACAGCTGCTTACGATATTTAATGTTTTCTACATATTCTACGTTCTTCTGATGAAGCATTAGCATTGTTTGGCTTGAAATTTTCACATGCCCCCAAATCCCTGTAGCATTAGCATGCTCATTGTGCTTCACACAGTATGTGTTGGCTTTTGATCTCACAAATTAGAACCCCCTTTCACATATTCTACATACAGGCCTGTTTATTACATTTAAAGCAGTTTTAAGTCCAACATTATTCAGACATCTTCAAACCATTGAATCCTAATACTGAGATCCTCCTACGTGATTGATGATAATTGATGATGTCGGTTATATTTAAAGTCTTTCCTTTTTTGTCTTTTCGTATATAGGTCACCTCTTTTGAAAACATTATTTTTTGATTATTCATTTTGCTCAGGAATGCAGATACTATGTGTATTTCTTAGCATGCATTTAATACATAAATTCTCTAATTTATTTTTAAATTAAAGAACTACACACACACACATGCAAATATTGGACTGTATAATTGATAATTGTGGTTATATAAGATTAAAATATTTCTGCAGTCACATCAGGGGCCGTCACAGTTTTAATTCTAATGGCAGTTTTTAAAGTCTCATCTCAGTTATAAATCTTGTGCCATTTAGAGGACAAACTTTTTATTTATTGTATTGGCTGTTGATAAAATCTCATCTTTAAAATTTAACTTATGACTATTTCATTCACATAATTCACTTTTAATGTATTGATATTAATTTAATATCTATTCTTGTTAGT